GATTGGGCTAGACGCCAACGGGGCGTGGCATTAGCTGGGAGCCCAGTCTAACTCCCAATTGCATAGCCCGTGTGAAAATCCAGCGCTATGATTTTTGTAATTTGATTTGCAGATTTTGCCAGGCGGGCGGGCAGCAGCAGCAGCAGTAGCAGCAGCAGCTGCGACAGGCGGCAGCGGGACGCAGAATATGGCGACACGTATCGACACATCAAATAAATTGCTCGCCCGGCTCTATTCGAATTCCCAATGATGAGCTCACAATTCGGATTCTGGCAGCCGGCAGCCCTGCACCGCAGCGTGGCTGACAGTCGCCTGGTCTAGCCCGGTCGAGGGCCTGGGACTTGGTTGCGTTAGTTGAGCGCTTTTGGGCTTTGCCCGCCAGTTCCCCTTGCCAGTTTGCCTTCAGTTTTATGATGATGTTGCTGGTTTTTGTATTTGATCAATTTGTATTCTTCAGTTACATAGTTTATTTTGCTTTCATGCATTTCAATTTGCAGTCAGGATTCGACACCCAACCCACGCTCGACACCCCCAACTCCCCTTGAAGGCTCGTCATGTGTGTTGGTTGCCTTGTCATCTGTCAATTGCAATGTTGCTTATGTGCTCAAGAATTAAAATTCAATTCTGTTTCCATATGCACAAAACGGAAATTGCAAAGAACATGGAAAGCAAAAGGAAAAGTCATCGTTTAAGGCATAACCGATAAATTTCATAACGAAATTCGATCCATGATCCTTTGCCAATTTTCATAATGTGTTTCTGATAAAAAATCAAATTTCAAATTCAATTTTCGGGTTCCAAAATTGACACCTAAATAATCTATTTGTTACGGAGTAAATGCATAAAACTCACTTATTTTAATTTTTGGTAAAATGTGGGCGGAGATATTCAAATGATTAAAATGTGAAAATGTGTATGCCAAATTTCGCATTTCTATCTTTTACTATCTCCGATTAAAATCGATTTTGTCAAAGAGCTACCCTTTCTCTTTAGCCATGCCAAATGAATACAGGGAGGGTATTATTACCCATTATTGTTCTGATAACATAGCACGCTCGAATAACTCGAAAGGAAACTTAACTTGAAGGTGCCTCAAACGTTGCCCCTACCCACGAAATCAAACGGAAGCTTTTCAGTTCTGCCTGCACCATCATTAAATTGGTTGGGTACAATTCCACTGCCCATTAACTCTTGGGGCCATCGATGACGTCGACATTTACCGATTGCTGTGACGTCATGCAGCGCAACTTACGCTAATTAAAATTCCCATTTAATTGGCATTGACTGTTGTTTGTCTTCGGTTCGATTGCAATGTCAGCCGTTTACATTTTTTATACCCTGTACCAGATAGGCTAAAAATCGGCTATTATGGCTGGATGCAGATGTATTAATAAAATATTCCTGGCCAGAATTAAAAGAGCAGGCGAGCTAGCCGTGTCTGTCTATTTGTCTGTCTATCAAAGAGTTTCAATCTTGAGATAATCCATCAGTTTTTCTCGAATTTAAATTATTCGGAGTTATAGCTTTGGTAGTTTTCCATAGCTGAGGGGAAAGGGAGCACAGATCTAAATCAACAAAGAAGTTCAAATATTTGTGATGGCAGCTCGCCAACGGGTGCTGGGTATCTTTTAGTCGGTCATTTTGTACCGAAGCATTGTTAATTGTAATTTTTCTTTTTTTGGTTTTTAATTTTTACGTGAAGCTTTCGATGAATGTTTATTCAATAAAAATACGCATGAGGCAATGGCTGGCTGACAGGACAGTTGGTCAGATGGAAAGTTGGGAGACAAATGGACAATTGACAGTGGCTCCAGTTGCAGTTGCCATAGAAAGAAATACGTCCCGAACTGTCATCGTGGCCATTGAATGAGTCTCCGAAATCAATTTAAATGGCATCATTCAACGACTTCAACCACAAGCTCGCCCACATACACACACATACACACGCACACTCACACGGACACACATGGACAGACAGGGACACGAACACATTGACAGTTTATTAACTGACCGACCGAGCAGGAATTATTCGTGACAGCCCACCCACGTTTCAGGCCTGAATATCGCCCATTACATCGGCACATTAATTAGTTGGCATTGAGTTGCAGTTGTCGAAGGCGCCCTATCAACGACAACAGAATATATTCCATTATTCCCCAAGGGGCCGTGCCGCGGGCAGCCGACGACAACTGCAATTCAAACTAAAAGACCACACAGTCCAATCCATGCAATAACAAGGAGCAGCATCTTGCTCAGCTGCAGCCCCGCTCCTAAGAAGCAAGTCATTTTAATGTACTTGTTTTTTCTTTGCATCGCATCGCATCGCAATTTCTGATAATCAAGTTAATTAACGTAAATACAAATTATACATAATGCCTGCCGTCGACATTCTGATTGTTTTTTATGAAATCACTTATTCAATTTGAATCACAGCAGATATACAGGGAACCGTTAAAGATACAACTATATAGTCTTGCTGGCTACCATATAGGAATATATATTAATATACCATTTTATACTCCAGACAGACAGGCAGAGGTTTTCTTAGCTGACGGCTAGCATATTATTACTATGGTATATAAAATAAATTATACTGAATTACTTTATACTTTACGAACTTCTTCTAAAGTATGATAATTCAATTAAACACTGAACAATATAGCTGGAAGGTGTTTTCTACAACTCAGCAGTAAAATTTAATATGAAAAAGTCTTTTAAATATTGTTAGCACTGACAACTAGAGAAGCTTTAATTTGAAAATTAACGTTTCCACTAAATTTCCTTTTTAAGTTTTTAAGGAACCATTTTGAATAGCCTTTCAAACAAAAGAACAAAATTTATTAGCTGTTTCATTATTACGTGTTTTATGTACACAAATGATTTATCGAAGTAATTGAATTATTGCGATAATCTAAATCGACTAATAAAGCGTAGGTGCTTTCTGAAATCATATGTAAATTTGTTTACTAAAGCTTGATAGCAGCCAGATTTATTATCTGAGTTCACAGCACACAACTCTATTAAAAGCTATTTATTATATAACATAAAAAATTACATAACTAAAATCAAATATATAAATAAACAAACAAATGCAAGACTTAAAACTCTTTATAAATCAAGATCTGCATAATTAAAATGCCCTTTTTTACGTCTATTTAGGTAAGTGGAATGGGATTAACCAAAGAGCCTTTTAGCCCCTTGGGAATTGCTGTGGTTGGGTTATATTTTCATAATTTAAGCACTCTATTTAAATTAATATCCAACATAACTTGATTGCTTGCCGCTTGAACTCCAAGCTGGTTGTGCCTGTTTCTCTGCTCGGCTGAACTTGGCCGTGTGTAAAACGCATCGCATTTAATTAAGTGTAAATCAAAACGTGTCTTTTGTTTATGTGCCGATGAAATTTCAACTCAAGCGCAGTGCAATAAAAAGTAACGACAATCAGAACGCTGGCAGCCAAGGGGCAGGAATCGCACCTGTTGTCTAGCAGGTGGCATCGTCAGCTGTGATCGACAGCCAAAGGACTTGGCTAAAAAGCCACAAACAATGCCAGAACAAGACGTAAACACCAGCCGACACACCCCTGCTCCCAAAAAGGGGCGAAGAGTTTGGGTGGCGACCGTGAAAAGTGAAATGGGAAATGGGCGACGAGGCACAAAAAACAAACAGGTGCTAATCGAAATATAATGTTTCAGCAGCGGTCGCACATAAAAAATGATACGCCAATAAAATTTAATAATTTAAAAATGAAACAACAACATCTACAACAACACAATGGCGTGTAAGAGGAAGAGCGCTGTGTAAAGCCGGAAAAACATAATAAAAAATTCATGAGCTTTACGAGAATCGCGAACGAGCAAGAAGAAGCTGAAACAAAAAAGTGCAAATAATGAATGACAAACGGTTGTCGAGCGGAGAAGAGGGGCGGCCGACGGCGACGACGACGACAGCAGAATGACATAAAAATGAATCGTTTTGCCTACTTAAAGGCGCATAAAAAGCAATTTCCGTCTTTAAAGCCATAAAGTATGCCTTGATATTGCCAAATGTAAAGGTAACCAAAGCCAGCCTATTGATTTGCTTGCCCAGCTGGCTACCTGGCCTGTCCGGGCCTGGCATACAAAGCACTTAAGCAAACAACAAATATTTAGTGTCGCAATGATAATTACAATGCCAACACTGAAGACTGGCCAGCAAGAGCGGGCGATTGTTAAAATAAGGAGGAAGGGGGAGTGTGGAACTGGTGACACCATATCACACACATATACATTCTTGATATATGCCTTTGTATTTACACATTTTGTGTTTACCTTTGCATGACCAGTCCGTCACTTTGACAATCATAATGAGGCAAGCAGCAGGTACCAGCAGCAACAATAACAACAACAGTAACACAACAGCAACATCTCGACACACACCACCAAAATGGCTGACAGCAGCAAACCTGACTGCAGAATGCCACAACAATCACACGAGCTAGAGATGGAAGCCTTTCATAGCTGCAACAACCAAATTAAAGACATTCGAACTCATACATTTTGAAATAATATAATTGCACAATAAATAATAACATTTTGAAAATAAAATACATATCTTAATATATCGTTGTGTAACTTTTTGAAACAATTTTGAATACAGACCCTATTATTTAACGTATTATTTTGAGCCAGAAACTCTTCTTTTGTATTTTACATGAATCAAACCCGAATGGATTATATGAACTAGTAACACCTTACCTTATATTACTCTAAACCGAACCATTATTTACACCCTAGCTTAAAATGTAAAATATTAGGGCGCATTATAAATTACTATTGTTCGTAAATGTTCAATATATTGAAAACAATGCAACAAAAAACAAACAAATGTCTCGCCTTAAGATTCGTTACGTGTTCCTTTTATTTGATATATAAAGAGCTACTTTAATTAACTAGCTTTAATTTTAAGTCTTTAATCTAAACAAATTAATAATTTTGCTGTCTGTTTATTTTTATATTTAGACACTGCCAGTCACAATCGATTGCTTCAAAAAACCAAAGAAATCTAATCTTAAATAGTATGGAAAAGGATCAAAATTATATTTTCGCATATCTTACAGCATATTCAAGTAAGTAATTTGTGTTGATCATAATAACTTAAACATATTCATAATTTTCATATATATGAATTACTTGAAAAAACTGATGCCTTCAAATTTTAAAAGAAATACTCTGCAGAGAAATCTAAATGATTTCTATATATTTGATTACAATACATATATTTAACTAGATAAACGGCTGAAATATGTTAACTTTTATATGATTAGTTGAAAAAACTCTTCGTCTCTCTTTACTTCTGTGTCCATCTCTCTCTCTTTCTATCTCTTATATATTTATATATATCGTTCTCCATATTTCTACCTCTGTCTCTCTGTCTCCAACTCCTCCTATTCCTATCTTGAGAGTTTTCAAGCCCATTTACCCATTTACCCAGTTTATTTGGAATCTAAAGGCAAAAGTACCCAGTAACCTCTATATTTTGGATGAGTTTGTAAATTGTATTATTAGAATATTGCTTTAGCTTCTTTTTCATAATAAAATGTACACAATGTGTATGCTGTGCTTAGATCTTATCTATATACTAGATCTTATCTATATACTAGATAATATAATTGCCACGAACTTCTGCTATGCTCTTAGAGAGTTTTATATTAGAAACTCTATTTGGCATTATATGATTTATGATATATTTTTATGCACATTTAATTTTTTTTTATGTATACCACACATGCTTGTATTTCTGCTGTACGACTAGATAGGAACTCACGCGTCCATCGCGAGCAGCTAAAGAGGTCGTCAGTCGAGGTCCAGTTGAGGCCGCCGGGTGTCTCTTTAGGTCTGTTGTCCGTTATAACGATGATGGCTTACATGTTGTTTCAAAGTGTTGCTGTTGTTGTTGTTATTGTTGCTGCTGTTGTATTGTTGTTTACCTTGCCAGAAAGCGCAGGCAGGCAAGCAAATCTATGTTCCTTGTTGACTTTTGCTTTTATTTAATTTTGTGGCAAGGCGGACCGGACCGACTATAAATACACAAATGCCATGTTTACGTCGTCCTGTCTGTCTGAATAAGTGCGTGTGTCCCTATGCTAGAATGTGTGTGCGTGTGTGCGTATGTGTGTGTGGGCGCAGCAAATAAACTTTAATTGTTGCAACCACAGCGTGTCCTAGCACACGTGTTCATGTCTCCGTGTGAGACTCTGTGAATTGTTGCCGTTGTTGTAATGCTTAACTTAATGCGCTGTTATCCTTTAACTGCCTGGGCGACCAGCATACGTACACATACACACACTCGGATAGCTGCAGTGCTGTCACACTAATACATATTCATGTTAATGTCAGCGCATAAATCTTGCAAAGTCTTCTAACACCTGTCAGCCATTTTACAAGGTGTTTCCACTTAATACATCGACGGAGATACACACATACACAAATACACATATGCATGGCTAGAAAGAGACAGGCAAACGACATTAGACAGAAAGAGAATATGTTGCTTTGTGTCTCTGTCCCTCAGTCTGTCTATGTGTGTGTGTCTTTGCCTTTGTACGCCATGTGTCAATGTGTCTGTCATGTGTCCAGCGCTGCGTGTGATATTGACAGTTGCGGAGGCACGAAGCTCCCGCCACAATCGAGGCCCGAACTAGCCTCCAATGTAGCTGTAATCGCTGAGTGAACGCCAATTGCTCAGCATTGTGCCAAATTTTTGCAGCGGGATGGCAAGCGGGTACATAAAGGAGAGAGGAACTAAGCCCAGCTAGAGCCGCATCCGAGGCATAGCCGCTGATGGAATAACTGCCGCCTAGCTGAAATCAAAATTATGGTAGGCAAATGTGAAGACGGTTGGCCAGCGTTCGCCATCAAAGCAATGGCAAAAACAACAACAGCGAGCAGCCAGCAACAGGATCAGGCGGCAGGATGACAACGACGTTGACATTGATTGAACGTTGTCCACAACAAACACCACACACAGGACACACAATGAGCGATGGCCAATGGCGAGAACAGCTTGTGTGTGTGTGCGGCTGTGTGTGTGCGGCTGTGTGTGTGTGTGTGTGGCATAGGGGAAGTGGCATACAGGTTGTTAGTCACACGGTGTTGATTGTTATACCCTGGCGATAAAGGGGTATAACGAATGCTTGACAATATCGATAATGGCTGCATTAATTAGCTCAACAAGAAGCTGTCCGGTGTTTGTTTGATTATGTACGTCATGTTATCGATTATTATGGCTATCGATATGCAAAACTTTGCCTTTGCGCTCTCAATCTATGTTTTATGCTTATTACTTTTTCTCCTTCGTTATATTATATGACACCTAAGATTAAAAGTCCTTTCTTCACATTTGTTTTTATATTAATTGACTCAATATGGCAATATGTTTATCTTGTATTTGCGCGTATCATCTTTATTAACTCTAAATATCCTGACAAGTATTTAACATTCCGCAGTATACTATTTATTGATGCACAAAACTAGTACACTGTATAATCCATGTTTTGTGTAGTATTACAGTGACAACCCTCCCATTTGACATTCTTATTGAGCGGACACGCTTTAGTCTAGAAAATCTTCGAAAAACTATTTAGTTTAACAACAAATGAATTTAATTTATCGTTTTTTTAAAGCGCATAAAATATAGTATTTATAATCTAAACATTTATCACACAATTAAGCACATATGTTTAGTTCTTTGTATTTTGATAACCTTGTTTTGGTTGATAGTGTAGCTGGACTTCGACTTTTTGAGGGTCTAACCGCAAAATCCATTTCCCGTTCCCTTTTGTTGTGTTTATAGTTTGAGTTGCGGTGGCGCTTTGGGTGTTTGGTTTATTTTAATTGCCTGGACTCTTTAATTGCTGAAATATTTAAATTAGTTTGCTGAGAGCTGTCGTCGACGATTTGAGTGAGCAGGTGATTCAGGCTCTATGTGTGGGTGCGTGTGCGTGTGTATGTGAGTGTGTGTTTGAGAGCTTAACTTTGCGACTTACTGTAAATGTATAATGCTTATATATGTTCGAGTGTGTGTGGGTGTCTGTGTGTTTGTGTGTGTGGCCTGACCGTTGCCAGCCATTAAATTACATTGAACCGCACCCGAAAACAGGATACTTTGTAGCATACAGTCAACAAAAACAACAACAATGAACAGAGTCAAAGGACGCCAAGCAAGCGAGCGAGCAGGCAAGCAGGTTTTTGTATTTAAGACGAAATAAATTGGATTAGAAACCGCAAAAATCCAATTGTCTATTGTGGTGCGGGCTGAAGATGCCGCACGTATCTCCTGCTCCTGTTTGCCCTCGCTAGCTTTAGTTGTTTTGTAACCTGGCCAAATCCGAATCCAAATCCGAATGTAGGTCTTAAAATATTTAGCAAGAAATGCTGCGACTTTCTGTCTGTCTGTTTGTCTGTCATCGTTGTCTCTGTCTCTCTCTCTCTCTCTCTCTCCCCGTCTCTCTTGCCCTGGCTGCTGTCTCTTTCCATCTTGTCTACTGTTGCTTTGTATGTTTGTATGCAAATCAAAGACTAATTGGATTTTTAAGCTCAAACTGTCAATGCCGCTACATGGTGCTCCGTACAACGTGCACCGTGCACCGTGCTGGGCGCTTTGGTCTGTAACTCAGATTCAAACTCACCTGGCCCATCGTCTGGCTGTGTGGCTGTCTGTTTGTCTGCCTGTTTGTGTTTGTGCACCTGACTAAATGGCAAAAACCGTTGACAAAGGCAAATGAAACGTCGACGACCGTCGTCCTCCACCTGTCTGTCCGTCTGTTTGTCCGCGTTGTTGTCTATATGTATTTGGATTTATGTTTTCGGTAAGCGATTTAAGCTGCACAGCAAACAATTCCTCATGCAGCACAGTGCACACACAGTGCGTAGTACATTGAACTGGCAGTGAACCCTACAACCTACACCCTACAACCTACACCGTAAAATTGGTGCTGGCAACCCAATCCCAAATGAGCGGGGCGCTGCTAGCCAGTAAATGCAAATGGCACACTAATTTGATTCTATTTAAATCTCGTTGCGGGCATCAGGCGACTTGGCTTAAACGCCCACTGATGGCTGTTTTGTTTGTATGGCCAACTGCTTGCTAGATGCTTTCAACCGTTTTCAGTTGTTGTGTAGCACGCTGTGTGGCAAGCTGTGCGGCACGCTGCGGTTGCTGTGGCTGCTCGGCCCGCATGACGCGTTCACTCATCACGTAACAGTTTCGTGTGTGTGCCTCGTCTCGTTCAAATGAGTGCCTTGAGTATCTTTTCTATTTGCGTGCACGCAGCTGCCAGCCAAACAGTCTGCAGCCTACAAACATGTCCTTGCCAGCCAACAACAACAGCAGCAGCTAACAGCAGCAAAAGCGACAGATAACAAACACTCGACTAGTGGGGCCCCAAAAACAGGCCCACACACATCCACTCTCTATGGCAGCATGTGTTTGACTAGTTGTTGTAGTATGCCCATAATCGGGAACGGGTATGATGCGTAAGCCACGAGAAAAGCGGCTGCGAACTATCTGTCATGTTAGCTGCCGGAAATGCGAAGTCGATAGAGCCAAATTCAGGCGATACTCTATAAATTGGAAATGCATTTGCATTGTTCGTAATTGTTCTATATTTATTAATAATATTATTATATATATAGCATGTGCCTATATACCATGTGCCTATTTTATATATTCAATAACTTTTTAAAAAAGACGCAAACATTTAGAATTAATCTGCAGATAGATTTGACAAGAACAGTAAGGGCATAAATAGTCCGGTGTAGGGTATACAAACCCTTTTATAGCTGAATGTTGCCATTCCAAAATCGTCGAGTGTGACAGTGACACACTTGTTGTGGAGTGGGGAGGGGGATGCAGGCACGGACGCCTTGCCTGGCTATTTTCGGCTGGGCCCGAGTCAAAGCCGCACAAGGACATGTGTCGCACTTGTGTGTGCGTTGCGGGGCGAGAGTCGCCTATTTTATGGTTAGTTCTCGGCACGGCATCGACTATTGGATGGTCGCACGGAACCCGTTAAATAATACAATAGACACCTTAGTTTCCAAGACTTTGCTGCTGCTGCTGCTGCTT